TTTTTTTTTTTTTTTTTTTTTTTTGAGTTAACAAAAATATAGGGGTAAGAGATCAAACCTTCAACTTTATTGAAGGTAATAGGAGACTTTAACTGTTAAGCTACGTTCAAATTAACCAATTTGAGTTGTAGGATAAAACCTTCAAGAAAGTAAAATTCTTTTTATAGTCTATAGTTAACATGCACTTTCTAGGAAGAGCATTAATACTCTTTACAGAGTATTATGAGCCATTGTACAGGGTGATTTTCCATGGAGGCTATCAAAAAGTAAAGTTATTTCCATACGACCTTGGTCATGAGAGCATCAACACCCAAGAGAAGATCCAAGGGAGGAATCCATCTCTTTCTCTCTCTTGAGTAGGAGAGTTGTGCACAAAAAAGATTCAAAGAGACAAGAACATCTTTTTACGAGTTGAACTATTGAAATCAAATACAGTCTGTATTCAGTTGGGAGATGATCCTTCCTAGCAATATGAATTTTCTCCTATCCTTGTGTTATAAAGACATCTTTTTTAAAAGGAAAAAAAGACCCTTAGACTACATAATAACTGGGTGTTCTCCAGGCTTTGTTGTAGAAGCAAAACAACAGGGCTTTCAACAATAGAGGTTGGTTGAACTTTTGATAAACCACACTTTTGGTCTGCGAATCATGCGCAAACTTCCGTTTCTGCTGAAGAAGGTGGCAGACTTCTTCATTTCAGTTTTTTTTTTTTCAGCAGTATTTTAGGAAGGGAGAAGCCTATTGTCAATGAGATTCCTCCGCACTTGAGTATAAATAGAGGGCCTTGTACTATGGAAAATAGTGTGTGAGCAGTGAGTTTACTTCCCCTTGAGCAGAAAAAGAAAAACAACAGCAAGAGAGAGAGAGAGGGGTACAAGGCTTCTTCTCCCTTTCCAGTTTTTGTTTCTCTTTTATGATGTGTGGTTAAGTTTTCATTTTTTATTCAAGGGTGAAACATTCCAATTATAATTTTGTTCGTCTTTGAGTTGAATAGGAGTCTTCTTTAATTCAAGTTTTTTTCTTTTTTTATTGACACCTTAATTTAGTATTGATCGTTCTATTGTTGTTCAAAAGTTTGTGATCCACAATTGTCATGAATGATTGAAATTGGTAGCAAGGAATTGGCCTGTGTGTAATTGTGGTTTTTCCGTTCTACTTGGCTAGCATAATAGGCTCTAGAGAAACAAGGAAAACAATTAATAAAGTTGTAGCTATCTCAATTAGTTAATTTTGAATCAAGTTTTAAGACATTTTTTCTTGGTCCTCTGTGGTGCATTCTTTGTAAGAGTACATCTAAAGACTTAGGATCATGACCTCGGGATTGTCAGTTTGCTCACTCTATCTAGGATAGCTATTTTCAGTCGTTTGGTGTTAGCTATACATCAGACTTTTCACGATAAGGATTGGGTTCTTATATACAAAGGAGGAGTGCAATACTAGGATGTCGGAGATCCTCTTGCAATTACCCTTTCGTGGGAAGGGTAGGGTTTTGTGGTAGGCTGACTTATTTGATTCTCTTTAGGGTCGGTGCCCTGAAAGGAACAATAGTGTTTAGAGACATGGAGGTTTTAAAGAGCAATATGACAATACGAAAATAAAAAAATGACTTGCAAAATAAAATTTTGAAAAAGAAAAAGAGCAACCACTTCTAAAACAATCAAACTGCCTGAAAAGCAGAAGTGCCTGAGAGATTTGTAGACTCAAGGAAATTACCAGCACTATTCATGGGAACCTCACCGCTAAATTTGGAATGCTGACAACATGATTATATATAAGGTAAGGGATATTCTCTGCTCCATTCCCTGCAGTTTCAATTCAGCAATACAATATGGGTACGAAGATGATAAGATATTTATGCAATAATGATGAGCATATCACGACTATTAAACCAAAAACACAATTCTAGCCGAAGAAATGTGATCTGAGCAGAGTACAATAAATAAAGATGGATAATATCAATTGAAGAAAGTCAAATAAATATAATACCCATGCAAACATATTTAAATGTTATTAATCACTAGTGAATAACATGTTAAAAGCCTAAGATATTCCTCATCTTTTACTATAAGATGGAACTTTGTTAAAAAAAATCCTTATTTATTGGAACTTCAAATATTATTTAGTGGGATGTATTGATGGGTATTTTTTAAGTTTTTACAAAATTGACATTTGTTTGATTCTAAAAATCAATTCTTTTCCACAGTACCACCCAAACCATGTCCTCTTCACATTCCCTCATTCACACCACCCAACCCACCACTCCCCCCCCCCCCCCCC